GCCATGCCGGGTGGGTGGGTGGCGGCGGGTGGTGGGAGTTCTTGGAGCTCGGTGAGGATGGATGGGGAGCTGGTGGAGAAGGAGAGGGCGGAGGAGATGTGCGGGGGTTGGTGCCTGGTGATCAACGGGTTGAGGGTTGGTGGTGAATTGGAGGGTCAGCGCCGCCCGAACGTCGGCTTCGAACTTATCCTGCGCGACGCGACTACAGCCGTCGGATTATTTTTTCCGCACGAATCTCCGCACATGATGACCGATGTTTTCGCAATTGCTCTCTCGCTTTCTATTAGGCGCAAACTGGATTATAGCCATGGGGATATATCGTCGTCTCCCCTCCTTCGGGTCTCCCGAGATCCAACATTTTGCCGGGTTCTGCTTCCATTCAATGTCGACGGAGACAACAAATTGTTGTCGGTGAGTCATGGCGGAGGGGCTTCGCAACTGGAGGTAGCAGGAGGAAAGGAGCATGTTCTGCACCCGCGTGGAGCTTTGTGCCGCGCAGCCTGGGTTTTTGTACAAGTCGTCCAACAACGGCGGTGGGCGGGGAGCAGCGTCGGTCCGCCTTCCACATCGGGTGCATCAGCATGGTGGGCGCGTCCACGCTTGACCGCACCCGCACTTCCTTCAACGCCGCCCTTTGGAAGAAGCTCAAGGACCTCATGCGTGAGCACGAGGTCATCGATCGACACCGCATTCAACCATTTTTGAAATTCGTGAACCGAGATTGCTTATGTGTGTTTGTTGTTCGATTTTGGAAATGGCTGGCTCAATCTGTTTGACCATCGAGAGTTCGATAGGTGGGTGAAGAGGAGGGAGGCGTCGCTGATCCCCTCCAATTTCAAGCTCTAAAAGGAGGTGCACGCCCCGGCTTTCACATGTGCCATCCTAAAAATGGCAGATTTTCTCGACGCACGGCGTGCAACCTTTTGTAAATACCAGAATTTTTGGGAGGTTACCCTTGAAGTAGCCCAAAACTTTAAAGGGAAATTTTTGCAGCATATTGTTTTAGCTTCCGTAGTTGTACATGACCTTGGATGAAGATGACCCAAAAATTAAAGTTGTTATTTTTGACGATGCAAAGAACTTTAGAGTACAAAAACAATGTCCTGTTAGCAAAATAGCAGCTGTCAAAGTAATAGCACAAGATGATTGTAAGATATATTTTTTTCTTCTCATGTCAGCACAAGTTAGCCAGCTTTTATGTTGAGCATTCTATAATTCTATAAGCATTTGACTGAACTAAAATTCTGCCATATGCAGAGTTTTAGAGCACAGGTGAGTATGAATGATGAAAAAATAATTAAATTCAGAGAACGTTTCTGCATAACCAAAAAATGCCACTAACAGGAGGATCACTCCCAGCTCCATTTTAATTGTGAAGATCATGATCAGACACTAAGTACACAGCATTCTGACGCCGAAAAGTAGTACTGAAAGCAGTATTACAGAACAGAATCATAATACATCAAGGCATCAGAGATAACATCTATTCTTCAGACAGAGACAGTGGCACATATCTTCTCATGAACTTGAGCAAGCGCTTGTGGCCTGCAATCCCCGACTCCTTTTGACATTGGACCTCCGAGCGCCGCCGGTTATGAATTTTTTAGGCAAAAATTTTGGAGCCCATTCAGCAAAAAAACAAAACGAAAATTACTGAAAGAGCCATCATGGACGTTCTTGCTGAGAAATTTTATAATGTACAGGAACAAGCCAGGAGATACGGTCGAATCGAGATTCGAGAGATGCAGTACAATTTTTCCGTTGCATTCAGATTCATTTCTTGCAAGAACCAACAATTCCATTACATTCAGACCCATCGCCTTCCACAAAGGCACAGACTACACAGACCGACAGAACACCAACTCACGCACTCAGAAACGAAACCGTAGCACGAGAACAGGAGCAGCATCCAGCAGAGTCGACTCGATGGAGCAGCAGCAGGCGCAGGTCAGCCGCCGAAGCCGTAGAGGGTGCGTCCCTGTCGCTTGAGCGCGTAGACGACGTCCATGGCGGTGACGGTCTTGCGGCGGGCGTGCTCGGTGTAGGTGACGGCGTCGCGGATGACGTTCTCGAGGAAGATCTTGAGCACGCCTCGGGTCTCCTCGTAGATGAGCCCCGAGATGCGCTTCACGCCGCCACGGCGAGCCAGACGACGGATCGCCGGCTTGGTGATGCCCTGGATGTTGTCCCGCAGCACCTTCCGATGGCGCTTCGCGCCGCCCTTGCCGAGGCCCTTCCCGCCCTTGCCGCGGCCGGACATGGTTGACTGCTTGGAGCTGACTGAGATGGAAACGGATGAGGAGCGGTGGTGGTGGCGGCTGGTGGGATGATTGTGATTTGGGAGGAACCGAAGGGGGATTTAACAAGGGAGGAGTGTACAGCCTGCCGTTGGATCCGCACGGGATTGGACGGTCGGGATGGCGATCCGCGAGAGAGATGGCGCGGATCTGTGACGTGGCTCTCAAATTTCGTTGTCCGTTCAGGCGGGTGGCAGCTGAAATTTTGGACTTTGCTGGTTCCAAGCGAGCCATTCGTGCGTTCGTTCATCGTCCGTTCGAAACTTGAGTACACCACAACGGATGGAATTACTCTCTCCGTAAAGAAATATAAATGTTTGTATCACTACTTTAATGATCTAAACATTTTTATATTACTTTATAGAGGAAGTACGTGTAACACGATCACACCTTTATTTTATTATCAAAGAAGGGTTTCCCCCTTCAATTTCCATTAAGAAAAACCAACAGCAAACTACGAATACCAGTTCACTTATGCAAAGATAGAAGGCCCAAAAGCTACTAGAACTACCTCACGCAACGCATCATAGCTAGCAAGCGCAAAACCCAACTAGGAGAGAAATTTCACCCACAACAAAAACGACAATCATGCTACAACGACACACAAACTAAGAGAGGGTCTATTACAGATATTAAGATAGAAACATCCAGAGCAAAAGCATAAAGCAAAGTTCTTTGCAAGTCTGCCACTGCTTTGAAGTGAAGGATGCCACCACGCATATCCATCAGTCTTCTAGTCGCGGCACATTATACCTCCACCCCTGCGCAGACCTGTAAACTTCACTTGGTACTCGTTCAAGCAACTTTGATCCCAGCTCCAGTTCCTTTTTGTTTCGGTCCTTTGTCTACAAAATAGACCACGCCATGATCAAATATGTCATCATTTGTATCTATGGCATAGGATCCTTGTAGATTTTATGCTAAAAAATGACAGCATTACGACTCTTCCAAATTGCCCAAAACATAGCCGATAAACCCACCAGAACTAATTTTTCTACTTTTCTAAAGGTTTTGAGCCATCCTCCAAAGCATTCCTCAACCGAGGTGGGGATGGTTCTAAGACCAAAAGTGCATTTCAACAGACTCCACATTAAAGATGCAGCTGAACAAGTAAAAAATAAATGATCTATTTGCTCTTCCTTACCATAGAACACACAATCTTTAGACCCTTTCCATCCTTTTCTACTCAAAGAATCTTTAGTTAAAATGCTTTTTTTTGTTCATTAGCCTGAGATACACTTTAATTTTTGCAGGAACTTTCACTTTCCACAAAAAATTCTATGGATATTTGCAGTTTTCAGCTACTAGTTTCCTATACAAGGTTTTAAAAGAGAGTTTTTTTATCAGCGGTGAGAGTCCATTCAACACTATCTCTACCCCTCCCCATTTCAACTTCTTCACATCTTCTTTTTAAATTGTTCCATAGCTCCATAGTATCTTCATATAAGGTTCTCCTAAATCTAAAACCCTGCCACCCTTTACAGATAGCCTCATCCATAGTAACATTATGATCAAACCAGAGGTTGTATAGCCTAGGATAATTATCTTTTAAAGCATGGTCATCTACCCATATATCCTCCTAGAATCTAGTTCCTTTTCCATCTCCCAGTTTCTTCATAGCAAACTTATAAAAGATCTCTTTTACTTTCAGCAAGCTCCCCAGAACTGGAAATCTCCTTGTTTTTTCTTCACGCTTGAAATACATCCATCAGGAACATATTTGTCAAACAACACCTTTTGCCACAAACCCTCATCTTGTTCCATTTTCCAGAACCAGTTCACTAGCAAAGCTATATTCATAATTTCCAAATTTAGAATCCCCAGACCCCCACAATCCTTAGGGAGACAACATTCTTTCCACTTAACCAAATGATATATTTTTTTGGCTTCACCTTCTTGCCAAACTAGTCTTGCTCTATAGAAGTCAACTTTTTTCCTTACACCTACTGGCAAGGGATAAAAGGACATCATGAATAGGGGCATGTTGGTCAAGCAAGTCTGAACTAGAGAAATTCTTCTAGCTATAGATCCTAGCAGCCTGCCTTTCCAACATCTGCATCTACTCTCAAATTTTTCAAC